GCTGTCATGTGCAAATTATCATTTTGTCTTATCCTTTCTCAGAGGAGAAAGGGTAAGCCATAATAATTTTACCATTTTGTCTTACACACACACACTCGATCTGTTTTACCCTTTCTCAGAGGAAACCGCCGATATATATATTCTCCACTGATCTCAACCCCCCTCAATTGGACGTCGCAGGCGTCAGCCACTACGCCATCGAGTGGCCTGTGCTTTCATCAGCCAACATATTCTCCACCTATTGAGTCAAAACCCCAAAAAACTCATCGACAATTAATACTGAAACCCCAAATCTAGAATTTACTATATTGCAAATTACATTTAGATTGGCCATGACGACAGGTTTCAGGCCGACGCCGTCGGGATCGTTCCGATAGTCATTAGCTTGTACATGTACACTGTTTGTAGTATTTTAGCCGAGTACGATCTAAAGATCTCACTCAGGTCGTCTTCTCGAAGGAAGGTTGTTCGGAGCTTCGTTCACTATCTTGTCGTCAATTGACAAAACCGAAAATAGGGTCCTAAACATGCTACTTGACGAAAAGATTGGAAATTTGGATGCACAGAGTTTCATTGACTTGACGAAAATGAAAATAAACAAAGAGAAAACATGCGAGCAAAGTGATCCTAGGTAATCTAAAACAAGCCTTCTAACTAAATCATCACGATTTGAGCAAAGTCGAGACTTTTATACAAGATAAGCACGTATTGAATTCCTAACACACGTAAGCAAACAATAAAAATAAAGAAAAGTCCTAAAATCGAGCATCAACATTTCGGGCCAAAACGCAAACTCGAAGTAATAAGCCCTAATCAAGGTACTTACCCTCCTATCGCAAGCTCGCAAGAAAATAATGCGTAAAGATCAAATTTTGAGCGAAAATAAAGTCGCCGAAACAATCGCCGAAAAATGTCAAAGTCTTGGACCTCCAAACTAAAGCATAAAAATAAAAGAGAGAAGAAGAGCTTATTTCCCAACTAAAAAGATGGGAAATGAGGAGTGGTGTCCAAAAATACAAAGCAAGAAGTATATTTATAGTTACACCACAAACACAAACTAGAAACACACACATTTAATGAGGGACACTCGCTAGGTATCGAACGGATTCGCTATGCGAACTGGCTATGCATGCTTGGAGACACTCGCTTGGTGGCAAACTGGTTACTCTCGCGTACATCATCGGCAATGACTCCGCATAGCTTGGCAATAGCTTAGATTGACTCGAAATTGCTCTATCATGACATGTGCTCGACTTCTGCTCATGTTCTCGTGACTCAGCTCAACTATTCTCCTTCAACCTCCAAAATGGACTTGAAAATGCACCAAAAGACACGAGAAAAGACGCCAAAACACAAAAACATAAAACAAGAGAAAAATACATGAAACAACCTAGAATGGGCCGGTTAAAGAGAAAAGGAACCTAGAAACGAGCCAACTAAACACAAAAATCACATAAAAATAATCACAAAAAGTCAAAAACATACATGAACGTGAGCATCAGCGACATGAATCGGGTGAATGATGGAGGCGGAGGTGTTGAGGGGTAAGGGGCTCAATTTTGAAAATTAGATAAGGCCCAGGAACTTTTCTGCAAATTTGAAAAAATTAACTATATTGCAATTTAGTTCTTGGATTTAATTTATAATTTATTAAAAATTCAATAAATGTGCACTGACATAACTAAAGTGATCATTATTGTGTGTAGATATGCACATTAAAATTGCGACATTGTTTAGACAGAATTATTAAAAATTTAATAAATGCACCATATTGATAAGTGAAATGCACAATATTGTGTATATATGCACCTTAAAAATATTGTCATATTTATATGAAATTATAGAAGTATCACCGCCTAAGAAATTTAAAGTTTGCAAATTTTTACGTGAAGACATGCACATAAAAAACATGTCCTATTTTTACAAAATTAATGAAATGTCACCACCTCACATTTAAATGGTCACAAGTTTACGAATATGCCACCACACTTAGGGTTTCCTCATCTGTCGGTTCTGTTGAACTGTCTGACCGACCGAAATGTCAAAACAGAAATTCGAGTTAAACTTTTGAAAAAATCTAATCAATTGAATATTTTCCCCATAAATCAACCTAGAACTGAACCAAAATAATCAGTTCAGTCAATCTATTAACTGAATTAACCCAAATAATTAAAATGAATTATTATATATATTGTAAAATTATTTTGAATTTTATTATTTTTATTATTATTTTGTATTATTTTTGGCTAAAAAGACATAATATATATGAATATAAATATTATTGTTTGTTACATAGTTCAGTTTATTTAATAATAAACTAAAAAATGGAATCGAAATAGTTTTTAAAATTTAAGATCGATAACTGAACCGACATATAAAACACCGAACCAAAAAATTTATTTTTGTAAATTTCAGTTGGTTTTTTTTTGTTTTGGTTGAACTTTGCACACACTTAACCGCGGTATAAATAAAATTTTCTAATTGAATTGCAATATAAATAAAATTTTCTAAAATAGCACATGACTCCTTGAGATTTTTCTAATTTTTACGTGAATGCCCAAGTAATTGATTCATGTTTCCGTGTGTCCGCGTGCTATGCATCGTCCACCGGAGCTTCCACCACCGCCGCCCTCTGCCTCATTGTCTCCTCGCCATCGTGATCTCTGTTGTGATTGTCTTCGTCGCCAATCGATGTTTTGGAAGGGATGTCGCGAAGAGCTCAAAATTGTCAAAATTCTAAAGTCGGATCCAAATCCACATCGTTCGAAATGCGATCAATTTCTGCAGCCGGATATTTTCTCCAACGATGTGCTCTTTTGTGGCGTCTCATTCTCTGCCGCCTTATGCTCGACTCTCTACGGACACGCCGACGATTCATCTTAATAGGAGGCTGCGATGGGAAATTTTGACAGCCAGGAATTTGATAATTAGGACAAGAAATTTCGGGCGGCGATCAATTTTATCTCGGCCAGGTCGTTCCATGGCTGTCGGGAACTCGGTGTAGTCGAGGAGGAAAATAGGGCAACGATGTTGGCATATGAAAAGAAATACAAACCGACTGCGGCGTAGGCGTTTTCAGGCTCAGGTGGTGACGCTGTAGAGCGGGGTGATGGTTGCCTTTGGTAGTTGTGGACGACTCTGGGTGGGGCGCCGATGGCTAGGGACGAGTTGTTTGTGTGTATGCGCATTGGTCTGTAT